CTCTGTCTTTTTTGTTTTTTTTTCTCTCTCTCTCTCTCTTTCTCTCTCTTTCTCTCTCTTTCTCTCTCTTTCTCTCTCTCTCTCTCTCTGTCTCTCTCTCCCTCTCTCTCTCTCTCTCCCTATCTCTCTCTCTGTCTATATAAATATATACATATATATATATATATACATACATACGTATATGTAACATAATTAGGCACACATAGAAGCAGTAGCCACTACAGTGTTTTTGAGTATATGCATACGTAATCCTTTTGCGAAGAAGCATATCTGTATTCATATAACTGTAGATGTACATACATACACAAACTCCAGAGCATGCACACACACACACACACAGTTCAGAAAGTCTTTGTTATTGAGTTGGAAGGGCTATGTAGCACGACGTTATGCTCGTCACAAGCACGCAACAATCTAGAACAAATTTGACTTCTGTATGGTGGCATGTGCTTGTGCGGCGCGTCTCATGCAACACAACACAATACCGGGTAGGTGTGTAGACACGCTTGTATATGCATTTATGCATGAGGTTACACATAGGTTCCTACAGACGGCGGCTGCCCTGCAAGCAAATACAACTGCAAGCAAACAAGCGAGCAAATCTTCGTATGTGGATGCAAAAACCAGATGTAAGTAACAAATTTACCTTTCCTCCACCCCCCGATTAACAGGTGTGTGTGTATGTATATATATATATATATGTATGTACATGTGTGTGTGTGTGTGTTTGCATATGTATATACACGTACATGGCTTTCCACAGTACATATACGGGTAGATTCGTAGATAGGCAGGCAGGCAGGCGAAAGAAAGATAGATTGATAAACAGATAAGCAGATAGATTGATAGATAGGTGCGTTAGCAAAGACAATATTACAGAGTGCAATATAATATAAGAAGTGATCATATCATATCATATATATATATATATACACACATTTATGTAGAGAGAGAGGCATGCACGCCTGCATGTATGCATGTATGTGGAGTCAGCGCAAGAGATGCCAGGAAAGTAAGTAGTATGCATTGTTATTGTCTGTGACACTGAATCGGCTCCACTCCCTATGCACATGATCCGTGATTATTCGTCTTGATTCACAGCAGCATGTAGCCATGCAAAACTTGTACAGCAACGACTGAGGGTTAAGGTTTAAGGTGTCTTCAGGGTCAAAGTGTATGTAGGGTTCGAACGAAATTAGTGACTTCAGGATAAATGGGTGTTTCGGGCTTTTGAAACCCTAAACCCTAAACCCTAAACCCTAAACCCTGGCTACAATGGCTACAAGACAGGAGCTTTGTGGCCGCCAACCAGCCCGTGGCGACTGAGACGCCTCCACCGGGGCCCAAGGTGGAAGAGACTGGGGCAGACGTCTCCGCTGAGGGCGAGGAGTTCCGACAGAATGAAATGAAGCCCTGTAGTGACTAAGGCTTATGGTTTCGGGGTCAGGGGTCCAGCATTTGGAGATGAGGAGTTCAGAGCTTTAGGAATTAGCCGAAAGAGGTTTCGGTACATATACGCACTGTGTGGTGCAAAGCGCTCTCATGTTGCATCCACGTCGACATGTCGCCTGTGCCGATGTTAGCCGCTCCCGTAGCATCAAGAATTGCTCTATGGTTAAGTGCTTGGGAGCAAAAGCATTCCTGGTTTTGTCTTTCAGGACGCCTGATCTATACTCTACCGCAGAGTTCGTTAATGTCATTCACCTGAGCCTCTTATTTGGAACCCGAACCACAGCATAAGTTATCCATTAGAGCAGGAGCTACATTGTATGGTATTGTATGGCCTAGGTACCTAGGGTATTTGACGAATGTAAAGCGGCAAGTACTTTTACCTCTTACGTTTGCGCCATGGTTTCTCTTGGGGGTTGTTGGGGTATATGGGCCCTCGACCCTAGACCCCAAACCCTAAACCCCTAAACCGTAGCTACATGTGTATATATATATATATAGAGAGAGAGAGAGAGAGATATATATATATATATATATTAGTATATATATATATATATATATAGAAATACATCTGGGCTTCGTGTTTGGCATGACAGGATGAATTGGAGCTCTCCTACACGGATGAGTTTGATGCGGAGGCGAGCTGGCAGACTTTCGCTTTGCCGGAGTCTGCTTGGTTTGTGCTTATGCAAGCCTGAGCCCGAAAATTCCGGCCCAAACTTATAGGAGACGACACTCTGATCTCCGACAGGTAGAAGCCCTAAGGAAAAAAACCTAGCTGTCTGAATGGCCCTGGACACTAGCCCTAAAACCCGCAATGATTTGGAGGCTGGACTCGTTCGTGAAGAGTTGATAAGAGCATCCCTTTAAGGTCCTCAGATAATTAGAAGGTATTGTATACACCTAAACCTTCTTGTTAACGTTAAGGCCGCTATATTCAACCCGTGTAGTGTGCCTTAAACCTTGTTGTTAATGTTAAGGCCCCTATATTCAATTGCTGTAGGGTGCCTTATGGATCCCTCAAAAGCAACCATCAAAGGAACCCTGAATCCCTAAGCCCGAAACCTTAAACCCTAATGCGACAGGAGGAGGTCGGCTCGTCTGAAACGCCCGAAGTGGAGGCGCTGCTGTCGTGGACGAGAGAGTCGGTCGCCATGGTCCAGGAGTTTAGGGTTTAGGGGTTTATGGGTTTAGGGTTTGAGGGTTTTGGGTTTAGGGTTTAGAGGTTTAGGGGTTTAGGGTTTAGGGTTTAGGGTTTGAGGTTTAGGGATGACGATGAGAGTGAGAACGACAGGCGACTGATAGCGACGATTCACTGCATGCTACATCCTATACCCCTACATCCTATACCCCTCATTCCAAGAACCCCTAAACCCAAAACCCCTAAACCCCTAAACCCTAAACCCTACACCCTAAACCCTAAACCCCTAAACCCTAAACCCTGAACCTTAGAGTTCCTGCCTTCATCCCGGAGAGTGGGCAGGCGAACGAGGCCAGCAATGTGATGCCCAAGGGCACGCAGGAGCCAGGCGGCCTGGCTCCAGAGAGAGGAAGGTATTGCAAGGGCATATACACAGCTCTTACATATATAAGATAAACGAGCATGCATATGTATGTGTATCTATATAATTTCATATGTATACGTATGTATATCTATGTAGGCAGGTGGGTAGGTAGGTAGGTAGGTAGGTAGGTAGGTAGGTAGGTAGGTAGGTAGGTAGGTAGGTAGGCAGGTAGGTAGGTGGGTATGTAGGCAGGGTAGGTAGCTAGGTAGGCAGGGAGGGAGGGAAGGTAGGTAGGTGGCTAGGCTATACATATATATATATATACATACATACATATATATATACACACATTTATATATATATATATACACATACATATACATATATATATATATATAGGTATACGTACATACATACATACATACATACATACATACATACATACATACATAGTTACTAATGTCCCAGACCGCCCAAGTAGTGTCTATGTAAGCAAGGCTTTGCAGATGGAGGTTTCTCACTACCGGGCCTCCTTCTTGCGGGTCTTCTTATGGTGAGGATCGAATTCTTGAAGGATTTCTATTTCACATGAGTTGCTCAAAAGTTTCACATTCCCTGAAAAAAAAGGGTCAAAAACATATTCAGGCCGGATAAGCACAGTCCACGGCTACGGATTTGAATGAAGTGACTATGAAGAAGCTCAACGCTCGACAAAAGCGAAGGCAGGCGAGGACACCTTGAGATCATGACCTGACAGCTGTCGGATTTGCATTGGCTGAAACAAGTGTAGACGCGGCTGTTAGGGTTCTTATGAGGCCAGGGTTTTAGGGCTTGGGTCTATTTTTAATTATAGGGTTTACGACACAAGACGACACACGGGGCAAGACTGGCTGAAGACCGACGCCCTAAGCCCTAAACCCTAAACCCTAAACCCTAAACCCTAAACCCTAAACCCTAAACCCTAAACCTTAAACCTTAACCGTTCAGATAGCACGAAGGCCAGCTCCGGACCATGCAGCTACACACAAACGGAGACCTGCAAGAGGGTTCTATAAGAAGGGACCTTAATAATTAGAGTAGGGTTCCTTTAAAGGGGTCCTGTAACGGTTAGTAAGGTTACGTACTATGAGGGTTCTATAAGACGGGGCCTTGATCATTAGAACAGGGCTTTGGGGTATAATATACAAATTGTACTAAGGAGCCCCCAAAATAGTATGGGTAATTGGGGTATAATATACGAACTGCACTAAGGAGCCCCCAGAACAGTATAGGTAATTAGTTGGCTGAAAAGTGGGGTCGGAAACTGATGCCTCGTTTTGGGCCCAAAAAGGTACGGTGCAGCGGACACCGTAACCCCTAAACCCTAATTATTAAGGCCGCTTCTTATAGAACCCCTCATAGTAACCTTAGTGACCGTTACAGGACCCCTTTAAAGGAACCCTACTCTAATTATTAGGGCCCCTACATTGGCTTGTGTGTCTTTGCTTCGTGCTAGGCCATGGCTTCCACAAGCCTGGCACGCCCGACGACGACAATTACTCGCAGGCCGGCATCCCCCAACATCCTTCCTTGCTAAACCCTAAACCCTGGGCTTAGACCCATAGTCCTAGACCTTGCCTGGCCTTGTCCGAGTTTGGGTGTCACAACCCTAAACCCTATCCTAAACTGTACACAAAAAGGCCCTGTTTAACTGCACCCCTTAATTTCTTGGGGTTGGTTAACCCAGTGACATGCAAGCGACCGAGCTTGTCAGGGGCCCTGTCCCCAACATCCCTAACAGTAGTTCTTCTGCTAAAGTTGAGATCTTATACGTAACGTTTTGGGGAGCTACATCAGTGGTTTTCCTTCTGACATCATATAAGAGTTGGGGACCTGAGCAGGTTGACATGTGCAGTCTGGAAGTGCGAGGGTGTAGCTTTCACGATGTGCGACGAATCTCATGTATTCTCCCGTCTGCCTCCTGCCCGTCCCTGCATGGCGTGCGTCTGTGCGACTGTCAAACATGCACGAGCACTTGCTGTCTTGAGATTCTGGGTACCCATGAAAATTGTAAATAAGTGCACGCATAGATAAGTAGGTACTTACATGCAACGGCAGTTCCTTTTCCATAGGGTCGTGCATCCACGTAATCAACAAGATACACCCTTCTGCCTTGAACGTTTACTTTTTGTTTGAGAGATCTGGGAAGCTCGAACCACCAAGTACATGCCAGATGCCTGCTTTCATTCGAGCCTCTTTGATCCTCAACAGTTCCTCAAGTCTAAGCTCGACTTAGAGGTCACAAGTAAGACCCGCCAAGAAGCTTCTGACTTATAACACCTTTGACGGCTTAGGCTTTAAGACTTTGAGACCTCTGATGCTTCAAAAGCTCTAGACTCTAAACCCTAAGCCCAAAACTCTAAATGCGTTGTGTGACAGTATCGATGCAGGCCTTGCCAGGCTTTGTCCAAGTTTGAGAGTCAAAAACCCTAAATGCCAGCCTTGTGCGAGTGTGTGCGTCGAAACCCTAAAGGAAGCCCCTCTGCAGGCAGCCAACAGCACCGTGAGCCTTGCTCCGGCTGGGAGCTGAGTCCGTCAAGCGAACGGCTTATGCTGACAGCCCGGTTTAGGGGTGAGAGTTCAGGGTTAAAACCTTTAACCAATATATCCAGACATCGGCAAAAGTTGCATAAGTCACTGCTCGCAGTATTCACTCCCACTGCAAGCAATCATCTCAAGCGCTTTGCATCGGAACCCAACACCCTGAAAACCCGAATCCCTGTTCACTTCAAAAAGCAGAATCTCTAAACACTATCGAGCTACATGCCACACGCTAGAAGACTTCAAAAACCCTGGACGCCGAAACCCATAATTTGAACACGACAGGGCTTTCCCTAAACCCTAAACCCTAAACCCTAAACCCTAAACCCTAAACCCTTTCCCCCAGTCGCTTAGGATGCCGATGGCGCCGTGGATGAGACTTCGGTCGGGTCTCGGGGAGAAGGCTGGGAGGAGGTTCAATTTGAGGGTTTGGGGTTTGGGTTGTTATGGTTTACGGCTTTGGGTTTTTATGGTTGAGGGTTTAGGGTTCAATTTGAGGGTTTGGGAGGCGGGGGTTTAGGGTTGGCATGGATCTTAACAGGATTTCTTGTAGTAGGGTCAGTAACATTTAACGTTTTTGTGGCGACTAGAATCCCAATAGAATCCCAAAGGTTTTACTTTAGTTCCCAGGATAGTGGGCATGCAGAGCTTCTATAAGGGTGTTGGAGGATTTTGGGCTTGGGGGATGCCGGGTTTTGGGTTTGAGAGCTCAGGGCTTAGCAGTATTGGGGGGGGGATTTTGGGGATTGAAGGGTGAAGACTTGGGCTCTAAATATGCGGCTTAGAGCTGTTTAGGATTTTAGGGTATAGGCTGGGCCTTTGAGTCCCTAAACCCTATACCCTAAACCCTAAACCGAGAGACAGAGAGAGAGAGAGAGGCCGGGCTTTTGTTCAAGCAGGCCTGTCACTCAGAGCCTTCGACCCGAAACTTTAGGCCCGGCCCGCACTCTGAACCCAAAGCAGGCAAGGGGCTGTCGAGGGTTCTTGTTCTTTTAACTTGTTCATGTAGAGAGAGTGTTTACAAAGGGCTTCTGTAATCTATATGGTTTTGGGTGTTTTTTGTTTGCGTCGTTGTCTTTGGGCTTTCCGAGTTTTGGGGTTTGTCAGGGCTTAGGTACTGAAAACTGCAACCTGCGAGGTCAAGGTGTACTCAGAGGCCTCAAGCACCCACTTTTGTCGTTTAGAGAGGCCCACCATTATACCTATAGTCTCCGTTGTAGTTCCTTTTTGGGGTTACCTTATAGGATCCTAAATATATATTTGATTAAACCAAAAAAAGGGAACTACAATGGAGACTGTAGGTAGGTAGTAGGCCCTTCCAGAGGGCTCGTATCCCTAAGCCCGGGGATCGAAGGCTCTGCCCAGATTCCTCGTTGGGGATTAGGCTGGGATGATAGGGTTTAGGGCTTAAGTTTAGGGTTAAGTCGAGTTAAGGGTTTTAGCCGCCATAAAGTCCCTAAAGCTTACGAATGAATGTTAGGGTTTAGGATTTAACCGTGTAAATCGAAACTGAAAACTTGCAATACCTGAAACTCTTGAACGCCCCCAAGTACCAGTCGAGCCATGAAAAAGCCCCGCAGAGGAACGGCTGGAACGGCAGAATCGAACCTTCAACAGGACGAAGAGGAGGACAGGCTGCTTCTTGTGACAAGACGCGGCTGATAGGGCTTTAAGCTTGGATTGAGGGCAAACGCAAATGTCTAGGGGTGGTCTCCAGGCTGATTGTACCTTGCGTTTGTTATCCCTTAACACTTCGGAACCCGAATTGGGAGGCCTTGTAACCCTGAGCCGCAATGCCACAACACCTAAACAGCAAGTAACTTGAATGGCAACCCCAGGCCTTAAAACCCTGAGCCCCTACACCTCAAACCCTAAACCCGGCAGGGTCTTACTATGGCCTGCTGTGTCTTTTCTCCCAGCTTCCACGAGTCGGTTTCACCTCGCCGCCTTATGACCACAAGCCTCGCCTCCATTGTCCGAGTGTGAGAGCCGAAACCCTGAAGGCCTACGAACCCTAAACCCTAAACCCTAAACCGGAGCCGAAACCCTGAAGGCCTACAACTACGACTCGGACTTCGAGGAGACCTTGCCAAAGCCGCAGCCCACAGCGACGGAGCCGGACCAGCCTGCAGCCGCCGAAGCGGAGGACGGGATGAAACGAAGGGGTACACCCTAGGGCTCCAAGTATACAAATAGTACCTACTTTGGGCTCTAAAGTCTATAAATAGTGCCTACTTTGGGCTATTTGGAGCCCCAGGGACAGTAGCAGTACACGGTTTGGGGGTTTCTGAAAATAGGGGACCCTAATATAGTACCCCAAATAATAGGATCCTCAATATAAGGACCCCAAAATAAGGTACCCCTAATTTTTGGAAACTCCCGTTTAGGGTTTAGGGTTGGATCTTGTGTTCAAACCACCGACGGTGATGAATTCTGGTCGTGGAGGGTTGGGACGAGGAGAAATGCGACGACAATGGCGACAACGACAATGATCCTGCTGGTGATGACGTTGATGTTCGTGATGGCTATGGCTACACAATGGCAAACTTGACGATGTTGCTGTTGTTGCTGCAGCTCTGTTGCGATTATGAACACTGCCGACGAGAGTGGTGACGAGGAAGAAGCAGCAGCTCTGTGTGTACGTACCCCGCAACCTTTCCTGTAAACGCAGAATTCATCGCGGAAACCAGCCACGTTCATAAGCATCGTCATGTTGAGCAAACAGCATCATAAGCAGCATCATCGTCACCATCGAAAACAGTTCATAGCCGCCGGCATCGGCAACAGCAATATCATGGCCTTGCTTGCTTCCGTGACCATGATTGTGTACAGCTTCAGCATCATCAACAGCATCATCCCAGCTCTGAGCTCATCATAGACAATACAGTTGATGGTCATCATCGCCGTTGTTACCGCCACCGTCTGCATCATTACCGTCAGCCTAATTATCACCAGTCCCCATGACTACCTTCACCATTACGAGCATCAGCGCAAGGCCAATCAGAGCTCTAGTGCTGCTGCCTACCGGGAATCCCCGCATGAAGGCGGCTGGCGCATGAAGTTTACTTACGTCTTGGCTAGGGTTTAGGGAACTTTTTTCCGTGTCAGTGTTCAAGTGCGTGCAGCAGCGACGTCACCGAAGGTACATGTACCCAGCGATGTCTGATCACGGTCTCAGGTCTTTGGTGCGTAGGTTTTGGAGCCTGGACTTTGGGGAGCTGCGGGGTTTGGCATGTAAACATAACAGACATACCATAAACTGCCCGAAGCCCTTAACCGCTAAACCCTAAACCCTGGCCCTAGTTACACCCTGCAGGCAAGCCCTAAACCTAAACTCGGCGAAGCAAGAAGGCTGGGTAAGTAACCACCTTACTAAACTGGAGGCCTTTGGCATGTAGGCTTCATGCATTTCGGGCTTACGAGTTTAGTCACGTACACGCGTCTCCCCTCCTACGAGCAGACCCTGTAAATCCCAAAACTATCCAAAGCTCCACCACGAAAGATCCCTCTGCACGTCCAAGCAGACCCTGCAACACCTTCTTAACCTGTCAGCCCTGCATCCGAAGCCCCGTGCTGAGTCCTTTGGGTCCAGAGTAAAGGGGCCTAAATAATTGGAAAAGGGTTTTGGTGCCAATATTTTTTTTTATAACAAGGAACCCCCCAACATAGTAATTATATTATATTAGGCTTCTATATTATATAGTATAGCGGGGTTCAAGCTTGTCTTGTTTGGGGGAGTTCGGAGTTTTGCAGACGAGCAGATGATGCAGAAAGCAACTTGACGCGTTCTTCCGGAGTCGAGGTGAGCTACAGTATAAAGACCATCTTAGTTAAGCTTCCGAAGAAGTCGAGAAGCCGGGTAGAACAACCCTTACAGATAGAATCTTAAGAATTCCCTATGTTTGTCCCTAAACCCTAGACCCCAAACCGACGCGGGATCGCAACCCCGGTTTCAGCGAAGTTGTCCGGAGTGGGGCACAGGCATTGGCCCGGTCGTCCACAACGACCTCCCAAAGGACGAGGATGATGACGAGGTTTGAGGTTTAGGGGTTTGAGGGGTTTGAGGTTTGAAGTTTAGGGGTTTGAGGCTTAAGGGTTTGAGGATTAGGGGTTTGAGGTTTCGGTGATTGGCAGAGTCTGGGTTCAACAAACCTGGCGCTGTTTCCAGGGTTGCAAGTGTGTAGGACTACGGGGTTTAAAATAGGGGCCTTAATAGTTAGAATAGGGTTTTGGGGCCCATTATACTATAATTTCAATTATAACAAGGAACCCCGCCATTGTATTGGTAATTATGGAGGCCCCTGTATCAGGATGGTGAGAAGGGTTATCGGTCAAGGAACCATCGGATGCAGGCGTCGAGCTTTGGGCAGGTTTGATGCTTAATTTCAATCTTGTTCATGAGTTGTTCCGAACGACGGGAGTGTTGAGGGATGATAAGAATTTTGTGTTGCAGGGAAAGGGAACTGCTTTGCAAGAGCCTTCAACTTAGACAGTTGTAGCTCCCAAGTACAGTGCCGCCGACCGATCTTCAATGCTTTGCATTCTGTGGAAAAGGTGCTCGCTTCAATATCCAAGGTGCCACTAAAAACCCTATATGACAGACTGCTTAGCCTGCTCGGAGCGGTCGGTGTGGGTGTATTTTCCTGTTTGCCGGCCATGCAGCCCCAGAGGGTTTGGTATTGCCCCCCCCCCCATACAAAACAGATTTTCTAGCGCCCTGAATAGTGTGGCAGGGCAGTGGCAAGCCCGCAGGAGGATCAGAATACTGAGGGTGTCGTGTCTTTAGGTATACTGAACCCTAAACCCTAAACCCTAAACCCTAACCTTCTGCAGGTAGGCTTGGAGCCTGCAGTCCCCGAAACCACACCCTACTCCCAAGCCCCACAATAGGGTTTAGGGTTTAGGGTTTAGGGTTTAGGGAGGGTCTAGTTTAGAGTTCTAACACGGGTTTGACCTAAATTCCGAAGCGCTCTAGATAACTCTAGAGTCTAAAGCCCGACTTCTTGGCTACAAGCTTTAGCAGGATCTAGGATGCCAGGTAAAAAGCTCTCAAAACATGAAAATCACGACCCAAGCCCTACAAAATCCCAATGCCCAGCCGCAAAAACAACTTCAATACTGTTTTGGAGTTCCTGATTATAGTAAGTCCAATTGTAGGTCCTGCGCCACCTTACCTGGCAAAACGTTCAGTCCCCAACAGCCCCCAAACCCCACCCTTATCAATCATCAGGGCCCCTAGATCATAGAACCCTTATGGGAACCCTTGTAAAGGAACCCTTAGAGGGGCCACCCGAAACCCTACACCTAAACTCTGAACCCTAGACCCTGA